AGAATGTTTTACAACCTTTGTTGGTTTCCCCTCGCGCCCTTTCCCTGGCAGGTGAAACAGTTCGAAGTATCCTCAAAATTGAGGACATTACGATGATTCGCTGAACCCATATTGCAAGGTACGAACCAAGGGGAATCGGGGAAGTATGCATCGATCCATTTCACAAATACCCTGACCGGATTTGAATCCCCCCCCCCCCCCCCCCCCCCCGCGGTCTTCTTGGGTGCCGCACGCAGGACGAGGAGCTGGGGGACGTGCTCAAGGGGAAGTCTGACACCGTCGTGTTTTGCGACCTTAGCGAGGTCCAGCGCGAGCTGTACCAGCGGGTGCTGTCGCTTCCGGAGTTCCAGTTGCTCGCGAGGTAAAAAAAAAAAGAACAGTTACGGTTACGTTTTGTTCGTGCTTTCCTGTCGCCTTTGGACCTCCCGGGGTCCACCTCTTTCGCCGCATTTTTTCAAGGCAGGAATGTGAGGTTGCTTCCCAAGTACTTTAACGCACCTTTTTTTGTTTAGTTTTGTGAGAAAGAAATCGGGTTGTTTGTTGTAGCACGCCCGTGCACGACAGTGACCGCTGAACCTACGTCGATTGTTTTTGCCGTGCTCGTTGTTATCGAACGTGTTTTGGTTCCGGGGTTCCCCAGAACTGTCAACCTCGCCCTCCCATCGCTGAGAAAAGCGCCGCCTTTGTCAACTACATCTATTCGTTGAGGAGGGCAGGGGAAGAGGCGACTGCTCGACTTTGTTTTCCACCAAACCTTGCCCTTCACATGCTTTGCCGGGTGGGACGGTGTGGTGCGGTGACAGGGCAAAGGAGCCGTGCAACTGCGGTCGAAGCGGGCGCCCGACGCGCGCCCGGTGCTGCCACAAGACGCCTGATAGCCGCGGCGGGGGCGGCGACGGGGTGGACCCCCGCGCGGTGCTGTTCCGCAGGCTGCACCCCACGCTCATGGAGTGCGACAAGTGCCCGTTTTGCTGCCAGCTGCCGGCCGTGTCCAAGCTGCAGAAGATCGCGAACCACCCGTGCCTGCTTCAGGTTGGTTGACAAAATTGTGGAGAGAGAGCGAGAGAGACAGGCAGAGCTAGAGAGAGGGCGAGAGGCAGACAGACAGACAGACAGACAGACAGAGAGACAGACAGACAGACAGACAGAAAGATTAGAGACAGACAAAAATACGCAGAGAGACACAGAGAGAGACAGAGAGATCGAGACACCGTTGTTGGTACTGCCGTTGCTGCTGGGTGTGGTCGTGCATTCTCTCTTCAGCTACTTGGGGTATTGCTAACTCTTACACAAACCATGCTCACAATGCTGTTGTGGTTACATTCTCTCTTTCTGCGTCATCTGGCTGTGCCACTTGTAGTATTGCTACAATAGTGCTGACATCAAACACTCGTATGGTATGTTACATAATCTCTTTCGGCGTCATCTGGCTGTACTGTTTTGCTGTTGTGCAGGAGAACATCCGGGACCCCGAGCATAAGCGGCAGCAACAGCGACAGTTCGCCGAGGTGGGTTCATCACATGTACATGTAGGCGATAGAGGTGGGGGGGGTTTATACTCATATCCGCGCATGCCGTAGTCGTAAGACCATTGACCTCGCATCCATCCCTACAGAGCCGGGACGAAACACGCCGGGTTCTCACCAGACCAGCTGGGGGGGGGGGTAGGCGAAGGAAACGTTGAGAAGGGAAAGTATTGTAACAATGTGTATGTAGCTCTTGCGAGATTCTCGACGTTGTTCACGGTCCCGGCGTCGTAGTTGCGCTTTGTTCCGTGCCTGAGGGAAGGCTGACTCTTATCGTTGTTGTTGTCGTTGTTGTTGTTGTTGTTGATGATGATGATGGTGATGATGACGATGTTGACGATGTTGCGCTGTGTTCCGTGCCTGAGGGAAGGCTGACTCTTATCGTTGTTGTTGTCGTTGTTGTTGTTGATGATGATGATGATGATGATGATGATGATGATGATGATGATGATGACGATGTTGACGATTTTGTCGTTGCTGTTGATGATGATGATGACGATGGTGACGATGTTGTTGTTGTCGTCGTTGTTGTTGTCATAGTGTTCACGTAAAAGCTTCACGAGGTACAGCAGCTAGCGCCCGCAGTAAGAACTGCAGTCAAGAATTTGATACTCGCATACAGTAGCAGCCTCGAAAAACTCGAAATCTAACAACTCGAGCCCCGTTTGTGAGCCCGTTTAGGAACCCCTACACCAACAAAACCCATAAAGCGGCCATTCATAGCATAAGATACCCTGGGAACTACGAACCCGACCCTCGGCTCAAACCAGAGATTGTGGAGTGCAGGCGCTTGCTGCAGAATTGTGACTCGAGCTCGAACAACTGCTGTCGGTTAGTCCACATGTTTGCTGTCACCGGGCGCTTTTGTTTGTGTCGAGAGATTGCACCGTTCCTTTCCCCCGTCTGTACCCTCCCCCTCCCGCCCTCTCTTTTTCTTCGTCGCCTGTCCTGTTAAGGCTACCCCTACCGGAGAGCCGGCCGCTCTGCACTAATACCTCTTGTTGGCGAGTTGTTTGCCCTTTGTTCGCTCTGGGTGGAACAACTCGTCATCGCTTGTGGAGCTTGCTGCACCTCCTACTTCTTTACGGGTTCCTGTGTCTCATCGTTGATTTTTCGTTTTTCGACTTTTTTTTTTTTACTTTCGTTCTGCTCTCTGTGGCGCTGTGATATTTTGTCGGATCCCGTCGCCGCGCGGTTTTCCCTTCTCTTTTTTATTGCTTGCTTTCGTTCTGCTCTCTGTCGTGCTGTGATGTTTTGTCGGGTCCGCTTCGCCGCGCGGTTTTCCCTTCTCTCTTTTTTTTTTTGTCGTTTGCTAAGGTGGCGTTCACGGACAGGGCGAGAGAGATCATGGGGGGGCTGGAGCGGTCGCAGAAGTTCCTGGACGTTTCGAAAGTGGGCGTTTGCGGCAAGATGAAGAGCCTCGAGGTGATGGTGGTGTGCTTGGACTCGACTCACTTGCTTGTACGTTGATGCTGCTGCTGCGGCCGCACTACAGTAGCCTTGTCGAGGATGTTTTTTTAAACTTGTTTTTTGTAGGGGTATGGGGTAGGAATAGGGTTAGGGATACGAAACCCCCCTCTCTACTTCATGGATTAATCATAAAATATTTGCGATGGAGGCCCTGAGGCCGTGGTCATCGCTGTCGTTCAGGGCTGCGCGAGGTCTGCGCTATCGAACTGGCGCACGTGTATGTCTGCTGTATTTTCAGGTTCGTGGGGAATTTTCGCTTGTGTTCGGTTATGGTTTGCTGGGCTCTTCGAGTGGGGAGCACGTCGGATGTGTGGACTGTTCGAGTTTGGACAACAACGTCGCAACTGGCAGCCAGCTGTGGGCTGGTCCTACTGCCTAATTTATTTTCATCGTGCATGGCCCCTTTGATGTAACTGCCTGGGCTGTGTCATGGGCCCACTCCGGAGGGATTCTGTTTTATTCTCATCTCGTGATGTTTTCGCTGGTTCCGGGTTGAGGTTGCCACCGATGATGGCCCTGCCGCGTTCACCTTCCGCACGCCTCCGTTGACGGTATGTACCAACCTGCGTGTGCCCGTCCAAACCCGCTGTAGTGATTTCAAGCTTTTTGTTGTTGTTGTTACGTTTGGTACACATACAAAGCGCTTCCGCCCCGCCCCCGCCTATGGTTGGTTTTGATGAGCAGACTCTGCTGGCTAAGTTCCACGAGACGCGGGACAAAGTGCTCGTGTTCAGCTGGAGCACCGCTATGCTCGACGTCCTCGAGGTGTGCACGAATGTATTCTGTGCAACGGAAAGGTCGTCCGTTGCTAACGTAGAGTTGGCCCTCCCCCGTCCCCCCCTGCACACTCGTTCTGAGGCAATCGCTTCCTTGGACATGAGCACGACATCTGCCACATATATCTGCAATCAATATTTTTTCCAGGAACACAAAGGTGTCGTTACTGTCGAAAATATTCCGAACAATTTTCACCAATAATACCGAGCTCGTTCTGGGCGCTTCAGTGGTTAAGGGCTTGTGGTGAGCCGTACCTGTCGTCGTCATTGCCGTTGTTTTGGCTAAAAAAAAAAATCACGCCGCTCTCTCTCTCGCACGCCTTCCCGCCAAGCAGAGTTTCGTAGGTGCGAAGGGCTATGTGTACCGGCGGCTGGACGGGACTACCTCGAGCAAGGAGCGGCAGGCGAGGATAAACGAGTTCAACTCGGACCGGGCGGGCGTGTTCGTGTTCCTCATCAGCACGCGAGGTGAGACAGAGAAAGATGGGGGGAGGGATGGTAGAGGGAGGGTGGGAGAGCAGGGGGAGGGAGGTGTTGCGGAGAGAAATGTACATGACACCGTTGCATGCATACCGCCTGCTCCACAGATATGATACAGGAAACCATTACATACATTGTGTACCGCCACAGATAAGATACAGGAAACCATTTCATACGTACCGCCACAGATAAGGTACAGGAAACCGTTTACCGTTACGTACGTAACGGCCTCCTCCGCGCACTCTGTCCTGACAAAGCACAGCCGGAGGGCAAGGCCTCAACCTCCACACGGCCTCCAGGGTTGTCCTGTACGACGTCAACTGGAACCCGGCGCTGGGTCTTCAGGCTCAGGATCGCGCTTACCGCATCGGCCAGAAGCGCAAGGTTAGTCTCCCTCCCCCCCCCTCCCCCTATGGCCCCCTCGGCATCCTTGCCATCGGGGTTGGGTTTTCGTCGCTTGGCAACGACGTTGTAAAACAAGCCAGTTCAATTCGTGAATTCGGCAACCAGGTTGCCGTCTTTTTTTTTACCTCTGTTTTTTTTTTGCGGTAACCATTATGATGGTCGAGTAGATCATGTTGTGCGGGGTGGAGAACCCTCACTCCGCGCAAGGGGGATGATCGCACCACGTTGTGTAAAATGGTAAAGCATCCTCGAGGCAGTTATACAGTGCTTATAACCTGTCTCTGGAAGTTAAAGCACCAGAAAATAAAGTAAGTCATACGCAGCTGTCATCCGTACGCAAGGAAGTAAGCACAAGATGCTGAACACCCTTAGCAGGATGCAGCTCACCCTTCATGCGACTCGCCGAATACCTCACGGCGCTTCGCGCTTGGTGATGTGAGAGCCTGGTCCGGTGAGAACCCGGCGTGCTCCGTCCCGGCTTTGTAGGGATGCGAGGTCAATGGTCTAACGACTGCGGCATGCACGACTATGAGTGCCCGCCCCCCGCCCCCCCTTCTTTTTGTGTGGTTTTCGTCGCGGCCCCCCTTGTACTGTTTTTTCGTGGTGTCGTGCTCACTGCTGCTGACTTCAGACCGTACTTTATTTTTGGGTCAGTAATGTTTTTTTTTTTTTATGGCGCAGGAAGGAAGGAAAAACAACAACAGCAGTGGTGATTGACCCCTCCTCTTCCCCCTTTTTGTTTTTGTGGGAAAACAGGTGGCGGTATTCCGTTTGATTTCGAAGGGCACCATCGAAGAGATGTGCTACATGCGCCAGATCTACAAGCTGCAGATCACAAGCGCGGCGATGGGAGATCAAGCCCGAGGCGGGCGCCGGCAGTTCAATGCTGTGCAGGCGAGTTCTGGGCGCATGCCCGCGTCTCTCTTTTCTCAGTAGCTTTCGCAGTTATTTTTCTATTATGTAAACATGTTGGATAAAGCATGCAATCGGGGGGAGTTGGGTTACGGTTAAGGGTTAGGGAATAGGGTCTGCGTACCCCCTCCCCGTTCTATTTCCTCATAGTACTTGGTTTCCGGCGAAGGCGGCCCCTCTTTCTCGCAAAGGCGGTCCCTCTTTCTCGCAAAGGCGGTCCCTCTTGCTCGCAAAGGTGGTCGCTCTTTCTCGCAAAGGCGGTCCCTCTTTCTCGCAAAGGCGGTCCCTCTTGCTCGCAAAGGTGGTCGCTCTTTCTCGCAAAGGCGGTCCCTCTTGCTCGCAAAGGGGGACGCGTACGCGGGCATTTTCGCACCTCTGGCAAGCCACTTTTTCTTAGCACCACTCTGATGTTGTTGCCGTCACCCCCCCCCGTTGGGCCAAAATACGTCGACATGCACACTGCCCCGGTTTCTACTACCCACGTCTTTTTTTATGGGCTACGGTAGTCGGTTGACGCGGTCGATGGCATTAAACAAGTCACACACAAACACACCCAGCGCAAAATGAACGCCTGCCAAGCCGGTTGTATCCTGGATGTTGGGAAGAATCCCCCCCCACCCGCCCCCAAGCGAGGTTCAATAGTCTAACGACTACATCATGCGTTTGCATGAGTACACACACACATCACACCCCCCAAGGTGGAGCAATTTTTGATAGGAAATGGAAAATACGAAAGTGACCCTGTGAGGTAAATTAACTGTTGTGCCATGCCTGGTAGGCCTTGCCCCGTTGTGCGTTTTTTTTTTTTTCTGCCCAAAACTGCCATTTATGCTCGATTTTTCGACAAATATGCTCAATTCGGTCATATATGCTCGACTTCTGCCCAAAATTTCATTATTCTTTTCTGCTTTTTGACGCCCGAGCAGAATGGGGCAAGGCCTAGTGCCTGGTGATCAAAATGGGCCTGCGTGCGGGCTAGGGACGATGAGTGCTCTCCCCTCCCTCTGACCCCCCCTTCGTGGCAAAACCTAAAAACACGCTTCGGCGCAGGGTTGGACGAATGAACGGTTTACGTGTAAGCCTCAAACCGGCCGCATGATAGTCAAGACAGATTCCTTGTCACGGAGAAAACACAGACGTATATATTGATATGATACGAAGCAGGAGGGTTTTGGATCCCCGCAGGAGTCGACGAACGGAGTAGTGGCGGGATGAACGACTGTCCTAAGCATTATAGCCTCGGCCAGACATCCGACCAGTAAAAGCGATCAGCCTCTATTGGCATATGTATCTGTCTATCCCGTTGATGGCTTCAAACACATTAGCTCGAGTAAATAGAACATACGCACATGTTGTATACAGAGAGCTCTTGTCTCATCAACGATTAATTAGACAAGAGACGATTATGTAAATAGGGAACGTAGTCCACTTTGTCTCTGGCCTTCCCCATGTTTTCCCCATAAACCAACAATGAAACATATTGAAAAATATATAAATATCTGTTTTTGTTTTTTGCGATGACAAACGACAACGACACCGACAACAGCGGAACGACTTGCTTTAACCTCGACAACTTATCCCTACCCAGCAACCGATCCAACCAAATTAATCGCACCCCATTGGGCGGTTGTTGTTATTGCGCCGCAGGGGTCCAAAGAGCAACAGGGGGAGCTATTCGGCATCCAAAACCTCCTCAAGTTCAGCGACGACTCCCTGCTCAAGACCCTGCGCATGAAGCACGAGGCCGGGCTGGCTGCCGCCACCGCAACGGGGGGAGGGGCGGCGGCGGCGGCGGCGGCGGCGGCGGGTGGTGCCGGGAGCAAGGTATGCGATTTTTGGACGATTGTGTGAGAGAGAGAGGTGTATTTGTACCAGCCGCAATGGCGACTTCCCAGCAGGAGATTGCAGCATAGGTGTGGGCAGGCGCAGAGGTGTGCCGGTAGGGGCGATTTGCTGCGGAAGGCGTAGGGAAGGTGTTGCCGTCTCGTACGGTACTACCTATTCTCTCTCTCTCTG